TACCGGGAAGATTCTAGCCTAAGTCCATCGTGGGTTGCAGCTGCCTGGGAGAGCAGAGCATGGCGGCTGTCTGGTCCCTCTGGAAGCAGTGCAGAGTCTGACCTCACTTCCTCTTCCACCCAGCATCCTATCCTGTTTATTTCGCCCACCTATCTTTTAACCTATCAGGGCCAGCAGTTTCTTTATTGCTCAGCCAATGAAATCAACAGATTGATATATGACACTCCCACATCACCCAGTGGTTCCCAGAGTGAAGTTCCTGTGCTTATCGGATGGCCCTTGGTTCTGGTGTTCAGAGAACACAGTAACACGGCTGGCTGCCCTTGAGTTCTTCTTTCCAGCTGGCTCTCTTCTCTTAGAGCTAGATCCCTGGTGTGGAGTCCTGGCCACATTGTGTATGTGTTTTCTTCATGCCTACCTGTCCACTGTGATTTCCCTGGCCACCTGAACTGAGCCAAGAACCTATCTGCCCTGCCTCTTCTGACCTGCTAAGTATCCATGCTTGCTGCTTTTGATGCTACTGTGGTTTCTGTCGGCTCAGCAGAGAAGCCATATTGATATTTGTGCAATGATCTATCCTTAGCAAATATCATTTCTACTGAACAAGAATCGGGTGTTAATAACCAGATTGTTTCAAGGAAAATAAATCCAACCCAGTGATAAGTACTTAGTGGCATGATTTGTTAAGATTTGAAATAATAAGCAATCCTGGAGTTGGTCTGGGGTATTTATCCACATAGTTTTCTTTTATCTGTTGGACTTGCTCTTTCAGTCTTAGGCCTGATTGCAACCCCTCAGGTTGCTTCTAAGTGGCTGAAGTGCAGACCCCGTGACTTTGGGTTATGTCTGCCTGCTGCCCATAGCTTGGGTTTGTGGCTGAGCTAAGAGGCAGGAGGCAGCATCATTACAGAGCACAGAAGAGAGCTAGGGGGACAGTTATGACCACTTTTAGAAAGGCAAAGCAAAGTGGTACTCCATTCCCAATTGTAGACATCTTGTTCAAACCCAAAAACAGCCACCATTATGACTGTTAGCAAACATAGTCTTAGACATGAAGATGCCCAAACTTGCCTCGGGGATCACAACCCTCCACCCTGAGGCTGGAGACTTGCGTCTGAGGGGCAGCATCGAGAGACTGACCTCTGGTCCCCACAGCAGTGCTGGTAGCTTCTGAAGAGAATGCCCCTCCAGCAGGACAGAAAGGAAAAACTAGGCCATTCTGCTTTCTCTGTCTGTAGTCAGGTTGGGTTGGGTTATCTGGAGAGAGAATCCAGGGGCCTCAAATCATGAAAATGTTCACACAAGGGTCATGACCGACAGGCGAGCTGGGGCTGGAGGGTGAGAGGTTCCTCAGTGGCCATGGCCTTCTGTGTGCTCTGAGCATGGGAAACCGATTGTTTTCCAGAAGCCAGGGGCAGCAAGTCAGTTACTCGGCATTCAGAGCACATTTCCCTCTCCCCGGAGCAAAAGGAAACACAGGTTTCACAAATCCATTTAGCATGTCAACGCTCAGAAGTGACAGGTTGAATCTGTGGGGGTTGGACAAGTCTGTGTAGGTGTCAGCGCCCCTGCAGTGCAGCTAGGAGCACTGGGGCGGGCGGCTACACGACTTTGGCCGCCCATATCCCTCAGCAGGCTCAGAACAGCTTGTGCGTGTAGCTTCCAGCCAGGTTTGCACGTTTACACAAATGTAGACAAAGAGGAAGATAACTGTGGGGTTCATGAAGCAGGGGCTGTAGTAGAGCCCAGTAACTGAGGTGTGGGAGCAGGGCTGTATTAGGACGCAGTAGGGTGCCTCCTTTCTCCTTGTGCAGAGGAGCACCAAAGCGGCAGGGCAGTAGGCAGATGCTGTGTGCTGCAGGGAGGCAGCTGTTCAGCAGCCTGACTGGGTGAGGTCACCACGGCACTGTAAGGAAGAGCACTGGCTGCTCTTCCAGAGGATCCAGGTTCGATTCCCAACACCCACATGACAGCTCACACCTGTCTGTAACACCAGTTCTTCTGGGGTCCTTGGGTACCAGGCACATATGTGGTACAGATACATAAATAGGCAAAAAAAAAAAAAAATCCATACATACAAAGTAAAATCAAATAAAGATAAAAGTAATCAAATAAATTTAAAAGAATAGCTAGTCTGGGGTAGCCTGGGACTATAGCGAAGCAGGCAACATGTAGGCATCACTGAACCAAGGCTGGGGACGTTTTTTATTAAGGGAAGTAACGCTTTTATATATTTTGTGTGCTTTTATTGTATACTTATGTTTCTGTGAGACATTGAAAGCATGTTTGTTTTCAGAAAGTGATAGATTATGTCCAGATTCCACATGAAAGGTTTTTTACAAAATCTGTTTATTTCAAGTTTTCTTGGCTCAGTGGTTTGTAAACCGCCCTCTAGTCTGACTTACAGTCACGTGACTGCTGACAGGAACATGGAAACTCTAGCCTGACTGCTGGAGTTTCATTTTTGCTTTTCTGTTTGTAAATTAATTCCGGTAAGGGCATGGTCTGGTGGTCACCAAGGAGTGGCATACAGTTGTGAGAAAGACCACTGGGGGACTGGGAAGCTGACTCAGTGGGTTAAGAGCAGTGGCTGCTCTTGGACCCAGGTTTGATTCCTATCACTTCCATGGCAACCCACAGCCATCTGTAACTCCAGTTCCAGGGTATCAGTGCCCCCTTTTGGGCCGCCTTAGGCACCAGGAACACACACATGATACACACAGACATACATTCAGGCAGAATAACATACATAAGTTTTTTTTTTTTAAAGAAAAAGAAATAGCACAGGATAGAGAGATCCTGTGTTCAGTTTACCACCTGTCCTCACAAGGTAACTGTTTACAGGGCTACACAGCAGTCGGGATACCGGCACAGATACAGCCCAGGTGCAGAACACCTCTGTCAGCGTGAGGGTTCATCATGTCACCCTTGGTGATTGTTATCTTTTCATTTTATTTCGAATTTTTTTTTTAAATCTAAATCTGAAGCTCATTATCTAGCCCGGGTGGACTACAAACAGGCACTTTCCTCCTCCAGCTTCTGAAGCACAGGGATTATATAGGTGTGTGCCCCTGTGCTGAGCCGCGTTGACCTTTCTAATCACACTCACATCCCCCTTCCTTAGCCTCAGCTCCTGAGCCTCTGTACAGTTGTGTCCTTGCCCTGTAGCTTGTGACCTTTCGACTTTTCAACACGCACGGGACTCCCTAGAGTGTTCATTTGCATGTACGTAGCGTTATCAGTGATTATTTTGCCTTTTTTATTGCTCACTTGTATTCCGCTGTGGGTGTATCCCTGTGTGTTAGTCACCTACCTGTTGAAGGGCACGTAGGCCTCTTCCAGTTTGAGGCTATAACAAATGAAGCTGCTGTAAGCATTTGTCTATGGGTTTTTGTTTGAACATAAATGTTTACTTCCCTATAATAAATGCTAGGAAACACAGTTGCTGGGTCTTGTACCATAGTGTTGTTTTTTTTTTTCCAAGAAAATTACCAGACCCTTTTTTTCAAGAGTAGCTATTCCGTATTTCATCTCTGCAGCATTGTCTCCATGACCAGGTTTCTCCGCATTCCAGCCTTTAGTGTGGTTGCTGTTCTTTCTCACGTATTCTGATGGGTCTGTGGTCCCGTCTTCCTGTGATTCTGATTTCTGTGGTCAGGGATGGTGAGCATCCTCGGTAAGGTGTCTCTGCGTGGCTTGCTCCTTCGCAGGTCAGCTTGTTTATAGTTTGTTAAATGCTATACTTGCTGATTTCTTTGTGTCTTCTGAGTGGAAGGCTTGTAAATGCTTCCTCCCCGCCCACAGCTTGTCTTTTCCTCCTCTTCAAATGGGCCTTTATAAAATACAGGTTTTTAGCTTTGATGAAGTTTAGTGTTCTAAGGATTTTTTTGTCCTGTTTGTTCTTTTAAATTTCGTGGCTTTGTATTTTACAGTGTAGTCTCCTAGTTCTTTTCTGGAAAAGGTGTGAGGATTAGGTAATGGCTCATTCTATTGGTTTAGGTTCACTTGCTCCATGTCCCTTTCTTAAACTGACTGACACCACCCCCCCCCCCCAGTTGGGTTGCCTTTGCCAAAAGCACTGGCTGGGTGGGTGCAGCCTTTCCTGAAGGTGGCATTCTATCCCACCAATTTCATGTTCGGTGCTCTGTGAGAATATATCTGAATCATTTGTCTTCCAGGATATAGTGCCAAACAGGAGTTTGTTTCCCTGACAACCATGCCGGAAGCAGGGAAGCTCAGAGGAGAGAAGCATTTTCCTGAGGATACGAAGGTGAGTACAAGTCCTGTCCCTCTGACTGGGACACTGCTTTCCTTAGAGTACACTGCACAGTGGCCCTGTCACATGGCAGCAGCTTCCCCCAGCATCTCTCAGGTTCCTACTATACCATTGCAGCCAGATTTATAGTGCAGGGTGAGAATTCCTAACCTGAAAATCAAATATATGGAAACTACCCAGTCTGAAATTGAGCACCAAAGTAGTGTCACAGTGGAAATTTCCATGCCATGGAGCTTTGTTTTATGCATCGAATTATTTAAAATATTCTCTATTGCTAAGGTTATTGTGTAATGCTACTTTCCTCCCTAATGCATAGAAGGCCCTGGACTCAATTCCCCAAATTGTAGAAAATTACTTTCAGGTGTATATAAAACATAAATGAATTTCAGGTTTGGACCAGAGTCCCTGCAATATCTATTTTTTGGGGGGATGAAAATATTCCAGAATCCAAAAAAAGTTCCAAATCCGATGCACTTCTGTCCCTGAGCATTTGGATAAGGGATAGAAAAGGTCATTCAAGCCAGAGTCCCTTGGCTTTCTCTCTGTGTTTCCATTCATTAGCTTGGCTTCGGTGAGGTCAGTGGTCCTCTGTGCTGCATCCCTCACCACGAGTCCTCTGTAAGTGTTGCTTGTGCTGAACCCCTTCCTGACGGATGGAGTCTTGCCTTCACTGGGAGAAGGACTATGTTGAATAGGGTTAGGAAGAAACTGAGGATATGAAAAGGTTTCTGTCCCAGAGTGGAATTTGGGGGTTGAGTGGAAACATGGGTCCAGTCTCCAATCGGTATGAATGAGCAACTGAACCCATGAGAAGGGAGAGGCCCCCAGGTGGCACGGCAGGTGATAGACTCGACCCAGGCAGTCAGCTTTCGTGGAGTCCTTGATGCCTGGGTACTGACTGCATGTATTCCTCTGCAGGGCCTCTTTCACACATAATTCTCTTTGTTCCCTGTGCAGGGACAGGGATATACTCAGGACAGTCACTCTCCTTGCCAGTCCTCGTGCTGGGTCTGTAAGGTCACAATTAGGACTGAAGGGATGAAGTGTCTACTGCTAAAGATGTTTGTCATCCCGGGAGTAGCCTAGGGAAAAGGGCAGGTTGCTGCCTGGCCAACAGTGTGACGAGGCTAATTAGAACTCAGTAAGAACGCAGACATTCCACCCAGAGCAGGTGGCCGTTGTGGCTTCTTGCCAGCAAGACATTCATGTAGTAAAGGTCAGGTCTGCAAAGCTCTTCTGAGATAACCCAAGGGCATCTTGAATAGAAAATATCTCAGTGTGTGTTTTGAGAATACCACAAGGGCAGGTGAGCTATTTGCAAAGCAGTTCAAGGCATGGGCCCCATTGAGAAGATACATCCGGGAAAAGAGTTTACCCTGTCGTGGTCCCTTGCTATTTCAAGATACCCCTTAGAGAACACATGCCTTCTTTTATTTAGAAAGAAAAGGGGAGATGATATGGGATTCCCCTCTGTATGATATAAATGTTTTATCACCATTGAATATTAAAGAAGCTGTTTCCACTAGTGGCTTAGAGTAAAGCCAGGCAGGAAATCTGAACAGAGATGTAGAGAGAAAGTAGGCGGAGTGGTAGAGGTGCCAGATGCCAGCCAGAACTTTACCGGTAGGCCACAACCTCGTGGCGATACACAGATTAACAAAAATGTGTTAATTTAAGATGTAAGAGTTAGTTAGTAAGAAGCCTAAGCTGTTGGCCAAACAGTATTGTAATTAATATAGTTTCTATGTGATTATTCACGTCCAGGCAGCCGGGAAACAAACGAGCAGTCTCCTCCTACAGGGGCAGACCCCTCAAATACCACATACACACTCACACATACACCCAAGTCATGATCAATAAGGGTTCCTGAACTGGTCCATGTGTTACTGGTACAGCTCCTTCCCTCCCATCCGTGCCCCTCTGCTCTTCCAGTCCACACCCCTCCCCCCCTACACACGCACACAGACTGTGCTCATGTACACATGTGCACACATGCACATACACTCAGGTAAGACTTTCTTGGGTATCCCCATAAGACCTTGTAGCTGTCACACACCCAGGAAGGCTTAGTTGCTGTGAAGGGAATGGTCCTGCTAGCCTTCAGGACCGTGGAAGATGGGGGTGAGCCTGAGCTCAGGACTACTCCTGTGAGAGAGCCCATACACGGCCTCTTCTCTTGGAACTCCAGCTTTTTCATCTTCTCGACTTATCAAGGTAGCCTTCTAGGGAAGTCACAGGAACCAAGTGGACATCTGTCTTCCTGGCCACCTGTCCCCGTGCATCTTTAGAGCTCAGCAAGGCTGTGACGAAGGGGCTAAGAAGGGCCTGTGAAGTGGCAGGAGATGGTAGTCATCACTCCAGAAATGGAAGGAAAGCAAGAGAAGGGGACTTCCGAGGTTCTCTCCTGCTTCATACCCACGATCCTGTGCCTCCTCTGTCCCTCTCTCTGGCAGCCAACGGGGAAGCTGCTCTCGGATGGCCATCCTGACCAGCCCCAGGTTTATCTGGAACGGCTGGAGCTCATCAAAAATGCCTGCCGGGAAGAGGCTCTGAGGAACCTCTCACACACTGAGGTCTCAAAGTTTGTCCTCGATCGAATATTCGTGTGTGACAAGCACAGGATTCTTTTCTGTCAGACTCCCAAAGTGGGCAACACCCAGTGGAAGAAAGTGCTGATCGTCCTAAACGGTGCGTGTGGCATCTGGGGGTGGGGGAAGGTGGCATCAGCGGAGGCTGTGGTTTGTTCAGAAAAGACCCACAGTCTTCCCAAAGGTTCCCTTTAAAAGCTGGTAGGGCTAACTTTGTTTTGTTTTACAGTGTTAGGTATGGAACCCAGGGCTGTGTGTGTTCTAGGCAAGCAAGTCTTCTGCTGCTGAGCTACACTTCCAGCCAGCCTCTGGTGGCTCTAACTGGGATGTTTGGATCACAGAGCCATGGGCAGGATTTCCTGGGTTTTCGCAGCTATAGCTTATGAAGTTTAACCACCCCCAATTAGCCCTTCTTATTCGTGGCACGCGTCTTGAGTACTTCGAGGCCACCACACTCTCTGAGGTATTCTGTAGTCAAAGGGCCCACAGCCAGAGCCTGGGAGGAGACTCCAGCCCCCTGAGCCTCAGGCAGCTTCACTCATAGACCAAGCTGGCTGGGTAGACTTCTTCTGTAAACATAAAGCATTAAGTTAGTTTGCTTCAGAAAATCTGATGTTCACTGGGGAACAAATTAAATCATAGAAAAATGAGTTCATCCACTATAGTTTGGATGATTCACTGCTCTGTGTAGACACATGCTTATTAAATCCCAATTCATCTAAACTGACCTAAAATAATTATCGGCTGTCTGTTCAAATTCAGCTCCAGCTGGCTGAGTTCCAACAAACAGCATTGGGACTTCTGGTCAGAAATCGTACCCCAAGTACCTGGGGAATGATTCTTGTGGTTCAGCCTCATATCCATAGATCCCAAGCCTCCTCCTGGCAACACTAGCCAGCGTTTGCTGCCATTTGCCCATTGTCCAGATCAGCTGGAGGGCAAAAAAGACAAGGCCTCATCTTCTGGATACACAGTTGAAGTTAATGTGCTTCTAAAGTAACAGACCAGTGTTTTGGGTTTTTGAACCGGAGATCAAGGCTACAAATCAAATTGACAACAAAACATCCAGAAAGACTCACAACAAACTCGCTGTGTTTGTCAGAATCATGTGCCGTGGTTTTATGTATCAGTTACAGATTATTTATTTATTTTTTTTAAAGATTTATTTATTTATTATGTATACAACATTCCTTCCATGTATGTTTGTATGCTAGAAGAGGGCACCAGATCTCATTATAGATGGTTGTGAGCCANGTATGCTAGAAGAGGGCACCAGATCTCATTATAGATGGTTGTGAGCCACCATGTGGTTGCTGGGAAATTGAACTCAGGACCTTTGGAGGAGCAGGCAATGCTCTTAACCACTGAGCCATCTCTACAGCCCCCAGTTACAGATTATTTAAATTGAAAACAAAGAACCCTTTCCTTGACGTCAATACCCATGAAATGATTAGTGAGAATAACAATTGAACTTATCTAAAGAAGGCTTTTATTACCCAACTCATTACTTTGTTTAGTAGAGAAAGTCAGCTTGTTTATTTCTAAAACAACATGTATTTATGTAATCTTATTTCCTAAAAGAGAAAAAAATAAACAAAAGCAAAAAGCATAACCGTGGGCTTTCCGGGTCATATAAAGCTGGAAATTCCTAGTGGCCTTCCTCAGCTGGCGCCCAGTGTGCTTGAACAGTGAGTGGGCCCAGGCACGGATCCAAAGCTCTGGGTTCTCCACCATCCCCTTGTATACACTGATGACGTAACTGCTCCATGCTAAGGCTACAGGTAAGGTTTTATTATAGATATGAGAGATAACGGCCAGCAGTATCTGAAAGGGTCCAGAGCATCAAAAGTAGAAGGCTAAACATGGCCAGCAGACCAGACCTGGCCGTGAGAGAGGCAGGGGGTAGAGCAGAGTTGATGGTGGGGGTGGGGAATGGGGGCAAAGAGGGAGACAGAGAGGTAGCTTAGCCGAAATAGCGGGGTTCTAAGGAGAATGAGTAGCTGCGGGAGGGAAACCCGTGAGCTGGAGAAGTTCAGGGCAGGGAAAAGGTGAGAAGAACCAGGATGCCAGCATGGGCTCTGAACTGTGTAACAGGCATTTGTGATGCTAAGGAAGCCTAGAGGCCAGTATGTGCCTCGGTACACTAGGCATCCGTCCTGCCCATGATAAGGGAGATGATGGCTCCTTTAGTATGGGAAAAGTACTACACAAGTTCCCAGGACGGCTGGTTTTTGTCTGACTGCCAGAACCTGGGGAGATGGCTTTTCCTTTGGACCGGGGCACATCTCAGTGCTCCATCCTAGGGCATAAGTGGTTGGGAGAGAAACGAATGAATGAGTCAAGGCTGTGCCTCTTGCACAGGTGACCCAGGAGAGCTTCCTCCTTATAGGGACTCAAAGCTTGGCAGAACAGAGTCAGCACAAGGCTAAATGTTACGGCTCACAGACGCTGGCTAAGCCCTCGGGGTCCCAGCACCTTTCGTTTCCATTCGTCTATACTGGGAAGAGAAAGGTCTGCCCAGCCCCCAGCTCCCCTACAAAAACTTGGTCCCCCTGCTTTTTCAAGTATGTCCTCCTTGCCCCGGTCCCCAAACTCTAGCCAGGGCTTTTCATCATCAAGTGTCTATGCCTTTTGCCATGGGGGCTGCTGTGGCATTCTGTGAGAAACAACGTTGGTCTCATAGTGTTGTGCTACACCAGCACAGCCTGCCGTGGAGACCAGGACTGTGGATGCTATGCTGCAGGCCACACCCTTCCAGCATCTCCTGCCATCTCAGAGGAGAACAAGCTCTTTCATTTTTTTTAAGGAGGGTTTAGCCTCTAGGCATAGTACAGGGGCTGTCAGTGTTTTCTCCCTCATTCCTCACATGTCTGTCTTCCAGTTAGCTGATGGATTAAAGGAAAAAAAAGCTTCTTATTCTGTTAGTCCCTGCAGCAGGAACAGCTGGAATCCAAAGGGACACACATGGACACTTGAGGGGGTAACTTCTCATGTGTGCTGGGGAGCTTATGGGGCCTGAAATGACATGGACAGGCACCCCTAAAAACCACACTGAGCCAGTCCATGCTCACCTTCTCCTCTTGCTTACCCCAGGAGCATTTTCTTCCATCGAAGAGATCCCCGAAAATGTGGTCCATGACCACGAGAAAAATGGCCTTCCGCGTCTCTCCTCCTTCAGCAAGACAGGAATTCAGAAGCGGTAAGGGCAGCTTCTTCAGAGGGGACGAGGGAGGGCCAAAACTCTTGCAGCAAAGGCCGAAGCTCAGTTTGTACCTTGTGGTGTGATGCACTCGGCTCAAAGGACCACAGGGCCAACTGTTCCATGTTGGCATGCAGCGGCATCCATGTTGGCATCCTTAGCGTGTCCTGCTCACTACAGCGCAAGGGCCCTCCTGAGGAATTCAGAATACCTTTCCCCACCATGTCACAAAGGCCATTAGAGTTTGCATCAGCTTATTGCCAGAAGTGGACAGTGCTTTGTGTTTGGATTTTGTTAAGTTTTATGGGCTCCTTACTAAACAGGGTTGTTTCTCCATTATAAAGAAATTGCTGTATTACTTTCCCAAGGCGCCATGCCCACCTCTGCACGTACTTCCCTCTGGGGTCATCGCGTGAGCAGGTCCATCAGAGGCAGGGCAGGAGATGAGCCACCTTGACCATGGCAGCGGTAGAGTGAGCAGCTAATGAGTGAGAATGTTCTCCCATTTTAGCTGTGAAGTGGGAGCTATGGGAGGCTGCTCGTTCATTCCCGGCTGCTTAGACCTGAAATAATCACTCTGAAACTATATTATTTGCAATACTGTTTGGCCAATAGCTTAAGCGTATTACTGGCTAGCTCTTATATCTTAAACTAACCCATTTCTATTATTTTAAATTTTACCACGAGGCTGGTGGCCTACTGGCAAGGTTGCAGCTGACAGCTCACATCTTTCCCCTCTGACAGCTACAAAGTGTCTCCTGACTCCACCTTTCTCCCAGCATCCAGTTTAGTTCCCCTCGACCCCCACCTAACTCTACTCTAGCCTATCACAGGCCAAGGCAGATTCTTTATTCATTAACCAATAAAAGCAACACATATACAGAAGGACTTCCCACACCAGAGTAGCTTCAATGAAGGGGCCAGAATTCAAGAGCTGCCCCTCAGTATCAGGTGGAACCTGGGTTTGACCCTCCCTGGCTTTGTCGGCCCTTTGTTTTTCGTTGTATAACTTTCCCTTGGGTAACTCGGTCTTCATAAACTTTGGTCAGACACCACCCTGGGTGTAGACTGTCCCTCTGGGCTCTAAAGACCTCTCTATGGGGCTTTGTGAGAGTCCCTGAGTTAAGATAGACAAATCGGGGACAACAGTTTCTGGTTTTCAGGTGAGTGCAGTACGGCCACAGATAGAGGGTTGTCCTTGTCACCATCACAAGCCTGACAACCCGGTGCCTCTGCTCTGCTGCAGCCACCCTGGGCAGCTCGCTCAGGATGCCTTCCCTGTTGGAAGTGTACAGTCTGGCTCCTGTTCCTTCTTCCCATTCTTTCCTCTTACGCTGATTGCTGCTGGCAGCTTGGGGTGCAGTCTTTAAAGCTGTGCCCATAAAATCAGTCTCTGGCCTCGGTGAATACTGACCTACAGTTCTAGCCCTGGTGACTTGTAAAAGCTTTAAAGTTTTGAGCCAGCCGAATGAAACAGTCTCACATCAGTCCCAGAAGGAGAGTGCTAGTTCTCCGAGCAGTCTGGTTGGCCTTTCTCTCTTTTTTTTAAGACTTACTTTATGTCTGCGGTGCTCTAACTGCACATACCCCTGCACGCCAGAAGAGGGCATCAGATCCCACTCACTATAGGTGGCTGTGAACCACCGTGCAGATGCTAGGAATTAAACTCGGGACCCCTGGAAGAGCTGCCAATGCTTTTAACCGCTGAGCCATCTCTCCAGCCCCAGTTTGGGTTTCTAAGTCTCTGTTTCCTTACCTATAGAATGGGTTCAGTGCACAGTACAGAGTGTACACTGTGTGGGGGACACTTTTCACAAGACCCAGCTTGGTGTTACTCCTTCTCCTACGTCCTCTACCCTCCCAGAGCATCAGTTTTGTCTCTTATTCATCTTTCCTCAGATTGAAAACATACTTCAAGTTTTTTATTGTCAGAGATCCCTTCGAAAGACTGATTTCCGCCTTTAAGGATAAGTTTGTTCACAATCCACGCTTTGAGCCTTGGTACAGGCATGAGATCGCCCCTGGCATTATTAGAAAGTACAGGAAGGACCGGACGGAGACCCGGGGGATCCAGTTTGAAGATTTTGTGCGCTACTTAGGCGACCCAAACCGCAGATGGTTAGACCTTCAGTTTGGGGACCATATCATCCACTGGGTGACCTACGTAGAGCTTTGTGCACCCTGTGAGATAAAGTACAGTGTGATTGGACACCACGAGACCCTGGAGGAGGATGCCCCGTATATCCTGAAAGAGGCCGGCATAGACCACCTGGTGTCGTACCCCACGATCCCTCCAGGCATCACCTTGTACAATAGAACTAAAGTGGAGCACTACTTCCTGGGCATCAGCAAACGCGACATCCGGCGCCTCTACGCACGCTTTGAAGGGGACTTTAAGCTCTTTGGGTATCAGAAGCCAGATTTTTTGCTAAATTAAGGCATAAGACCCTTGAATTCTTGCTAGGTCAGGGGCTGACTAGTTGGGGGGGGGGTCTTAGCACAGAAATGGAACTCCCTTCAACATTTCTGTGGTTCTGTGACCAGGTGACGTTGGGCTTGTCTGCTTGTCTGAGCTTGGATGTCAGATGTTCTGAGGGCCCTGTGTCGTATATGCCAACCCCCCTCACCACCCTGTGTCATTAGAAGGTCACTAGCCATTACTCCATGAGAGGTTAGCAGAGGCTGTTTGCAGACTGGCAGGCAGACCCAGAGCAGACAGTGTTAGAACCTGTTTCGGTGTTACATTGCCATTGGCACTGGCAGCTCAGCAGTGGCCAGGTGGTGTCACCCGTGACCTGTGGATTGTACAGACACAGCACTTTGAAGAGAGATCGAGATGCTTAATGGCTGCAGAAGTTACTGGAGCCCATGCAGACTCAAATCTAAGTCATAATGATCCCTTTTTTCTTCCGCCTTGGAATAACTATAACCATAGACACAGGTCATATATGCCCCTCGAGCTTGAGGCCCTGTGGCATTTGGTGGGGATAGTTCCAGGACAGTGTGAGCAGTCTCTTCAAGATCCAGGCTAGCTCTTTTTTTTTTTTTTTAAGACCTCTGACCCTCCAAGCACCTGCTTCATTTTGCAGAAGAGATTCCCTTCCTGAAAGTGAGGGGGGTTTCAGGAACATCCCTGGGGACTTGGAACTTGGCGCAAGGAAGGAAGAACTGGATGGTCCTGGGAACAGAGGCTGCCGTGGAATCGGGTGCCTTTGCCTTGGCACCAGATCCTGATTTTATCTTGGACTGAGCAGCAGGGACTCTCCCACCTGTCTCCTCCGTGAACCTCACTGTCCTGAAAGGGGAGAAAGACTAAGCGTTTCCAGCGGGTAGATCCAGGCAGCTGCTGACGACAGCGGGCCACGTCATGCCTGGCCTGCAGAATCCAGTGCTGTCTCCACACTGCCATGTCCGCTCATGCCGACAGACAGGCTCCTCCAGCCCCGGTTCTATCAGTGCCTCCATTCCGGACTGAAAGGCCACAAGTTGGATAATCAGATTCAACAGCAATAAAATCTCGGGTGAGGCCAGTCTGGCAACATGCCCTCCAGGCTTCGAGGCCAACTCCAGCAAGAAGAAAGACACATCAGCGTGTCAGCTGCCAACCAGCAGCCAAGTGCTACTACAGATGACTGGACGGTCTACCTGAGGAAGTCTCTGGCACACGCATGTGCCCAGGGTTGGGAGAAACTGTGCTGGCTTTTCCTAAAGGCCACAGCCCTCTTCTCCAAAAGTCTTCCTAAACGTGTAAATGTGAAAGTAAAATAAAATTTAAAATATGTGCCAAATCTTAACAGTGGAGAGGGGGCTCCAGGGCCACAGGTAACCCCTGATGGCTTCAAGCTGAGGCCAGGCATTGGGGCCGCGGACTGGAATGAGGCTCAGCTTTTCCTGGTCAACCGAAATGCCAAGAACGTAACATTGGGTTGTTTTTAAATGAAGTTTTAGCACAGCCTTTGTAAAATCACTTCAGACCTAAACTGCTGATCATTGATCTCGTCCCTGCTTTTTGACAGGCTTCATTGTTAAATAGCGTGTGTGGCAATGGTGTTGATAGCGTGTGTGAAGTTAAGGCCTTCCAGGTAGTTCTGATTAAAGCGGCATTTTCTCTCTTGTGGTTGACTGGGTTGATCTGATTTTTCTCTTTCCCTCCTTTCTGCCATACTGGTCATTTTCCTAACATATTTTGCTGAACAAGTAACTATTTCTACCACAGTAAGTCAGGAACAAGCCAGCTCAGCACACCTGATCCCAGACAGCCAACATCCCCAGAGTGGCTCAAGCCTGATACCCTCCTCCCAAAGTCTTGGAAGGCCCTTCTTATCCTCACAAATCATGTTCCTCTTCACTCAAGAAGGCAGTCCTTTCCCCCCGTGTCCCTTGAACCACTGCCAAATTCATGACAGCTGCGGCTTCGGTTGCTCTGCTCCCCACATTGCTGCACGCTCTGACATTGCGCTGCCAAGCCTGGCCTCAGCCTTCTCATTTTAGCCTGCCTGAACTGACACGGGCCCTCGTGGCTCAGAAGCCGTCCTTGCAGGGTGGGAGCAGCAGCGGCACCTTCTAGATCCATTGGGTGGTAGAGTCACCTCGCGTCTCTGCAGAGCTGACTAATCAGCTCTTGGGCTTGGTCCTTCCCCTTCAGCTTCAAGCTGTGGAAGGTACCTTGCCCAAAAAGCTCTTTCAGACCCTGCCCCTGCCCACTGCTGTTGGCAGCTCCACCTGGTGTCCTCAGCTGTAGGAAGAGAAGCAGCTCCGGTCTCCAAATAGCCCGTGGACCGCTATTTTTCTCAATGCATACCAGGTGTCTGCAGCCTGCCCCCTTCCCTCCTGATTGTCTTGTCTCGTTTTTCTTTGGGGCTGACAGGCAGGGTTCTGCTGACATGCTCACCTCACTCTTCCTGGCCCTTGTATTCATCAGAATTCTCTAGAGAAACAGAACTGATAGAATGAATGTGGTGTGTGTGTGTGTGTGTGTGTGTGTGTGTGTGTGTGTGTGTGTGTGACTAGAACAGCTTAGAAGCTATTCTAGTTGTCCAACAGTAGCTGTCTTACCAATGCAGGGTCTAGTTGTTCACCACGTGAGGCTGGATGTCTCGGCCGATCTTCAGGACACACCAGAATCCTGAAGAAGTAGGCTCTAATGCCATCGAAGGAATGGATGCTTGCCAAAAGAGGAAGCAGGCCAAGAGCAAAAGCATCCTTCTTCCACATCCTTTCTCTAGGCTGCCAGCAGAAGGTGTGGCCCAGATTAAAGGTGGATCTTCCCTCCTAGAAAGATCTGTGCTAAAAGTGAGTCTTCCCACTTGACATGATCTAATTAAGAAAAGTCCCTCAAGGGTGTACCTAGCTGCTTGGGGCTTAGTTAGTTCCAAACGGAGTCAACTTGACAGCCAAGAATAGCCATCACAGCTTCTGAAGAGATGACCAATTTTAGGACCATGGTTCACACCCACGTTCCTCTCACGTCGTGGCTGAGAAGCCACACCATTAGGTTCAGTCTCCACTTAGTCTCCCATTCTCTACCACCTGACAGGCTGAGAATGCCCAAAGCCTTCCTATTTTGGTGCCCTTTTGCTTAGTAGCTAAGTCTTTTATTTAAATATTTATTTATTATGTATACAATATTCTGCCTGTATGTAGGCCAAAAGAGGGCACCAGACCTCATTTACAGATGGTTGTGAGCCACCATGTGGTTGCCGGGAATTGAACTCAGGACCTTTGGAAGAGCAGGCAATGCTCTTAACCACTGAGCCATCTCTTCAGCCCCAGTAGCTAAGTCTTGAACTCCCCTCTCTGGGCTCACGTTTTATCACACCGATGGCCCTCAGTTCGCAATGGTTACTTCCTGATAGAGTCATTGTCAGCTGGAAATACCCTGAGTCAAAGATGCATCAAGTACCTTAACCCACGGGCATGGTAGCTTAGCAACACAACACATTGTGGGTAGCCAGTTGTTGGCTCTTGTGACTGGCAGCTCAGTGTTGCTGCTCAGCATTGCGTATGACTAATCTGGGGAAAAGGATCAAATTTCAAAATACAATTTCCACCAAATACATATTGATTTCACATCATCAGAAAGCAAAAAGGAAAAATGAAAAACAAGTCAAAATATCTCTAAGATGGGAGCTGTCTGTGTACCTCGTCAACACCGCTCCCCTGGTATTCTGCCCAGAAATCTCAGCAAAATATTTGATTTCTTCACTTGCAAATGTGGCCTGCCACCAAAATCTCCAACACAGATACATTCCAACCAGGTTCTTGACCACTCTGTACAATGTCCTCTTTTCAACAGTGTGTTCCTAATGTCTCTCTGAGACCGCCCAGAATGGCCCTTACACTACTTTCTCTCCAACTATTATTTTGGGTTTTTTCTTTAAAAGGAGTGTGTGCACCTGAGTGTGTATGTGCACCCACATATGAGGTATAGGTGCCCATGAAGGCTAGAAAAGGATGTCAGATCCTATGGAACTGGAGCCATCATGTGGGTACTGGGAACTGAACCCAGGTCCTCTGCAAGAGTAGCAGATGGTTTTAGCCACTGAGCCATCTCTCCAGGCCCCAATGTACACGGCATATTCTCTAAGAAGACAGAAGCTGTCTCTACAGCTGTCTCTAAGAAGACAGAAGCTCCTCTGTTTTCTGAACCCTCATAGAATATCCTATAATGTCCATATTTCTTGCATGCACCCCAGAACTCCCCCATCCTCGATTATCTATTTCTGCAGCAGCTCCCACACTTTATTTAATACAGCAGCAATCTCGGTGCCAATTTCTCTCTTGCTCTGCTTGAGGTTCTGTAAGAAATCACCGTAGCGTGGGAGGCTTAACCAAAGCAATTTGTTTTTCATTGTTCTGGAGGCTAGGACGTTCTAGATGAAGGGCAGACTGACCCTGTTCTTAGTGACTTGCAGGCAGCTACCTTGCTGTTCTCAAAAGGCAAAAGGAAGGGGAGTGCTCTGATCTCCCTACGCTTCAAAAGATACTCATTTCACTTCACCCCACAGTCAAGAGCACTTCTAAATCTATCTCCCAGGGGTCCCCATCTCCATACACCATCCCCTCGGGGATTGGGACTTCAACTTGTGAATTTTAGTGGGAAAGGGGATTTAAGTCTTAACATTGATCTGCAGACCCAGACTCTGTATTTATCTCTGTACTTCCAACTCTGATAAGGGAGCCCTGGAAACACTAAGATGACCAGATATGGCCATATATAGTCTGGTGTTTTGACACCCTTGGCACTCCCTTTATATTGGTGTGTGTAGCACATTGAACTCCCCTCCTCTCTCCTCTGCTGCCAGCATTCAGCTGGAGCCTGAGCCGGGAACCAAAGCCCTGTCTACCTTCGCTTCATCTCCCAAATTCAGAAACAACTCTTCTGTTTTCTATCTTCTTTATCTTTTAAGTTGAGGGTGGGGGTGTGGTGTAAAATGACAACTCCAACCCCTAGAGGAAAATGTCAGTTTTTTCATCCACTTAGTTGTGTGTATTAGTCACTTTCTGTTGCTGTGACAAAAATGCCATGACGAAAAGCAGCTTAAGGAAGAGTGCACTTTAGCTTACAGTCCAGAGAGATAGAGTCCATCATGGCAGAGGAGGTGAAGCCTTGGCACAGTGGCAGGGGCAGAAGGCTCAGAGATCACATCTCTGCTGAACATTGAAGTGAAAAGAGAGATCAGGAGGCTATAAACCCAAAAGCCCACCCTCAGCGACTTCTCAGCAAGGATGCACCTCCTAAAGGATCCATAGCCTCCCAAACAACACACTGACTGGGACCAAGTGTTCGAATGCAGGAGCCTGTGGGGGACATTTCTCTTCCAAACCACTGTGGTATATATTCCAGTGTGTGCAGTTGGGTGTGTGGCGTGCACACATGGGCGTGTGGTGATCCAAACCACTGCAGTGTGTGTGCCTGTGTGTGCTCTTGGGTGTGTAGTGATCCAAACCACCTCAGTGTATGTGCCTGTGTGCACACATAAGCATGTGGTGATTAGAGGATCAGGGTCTCACCTCCCACTGTGTGGCTTCCAGGAACAGAACTCAAGGGATCAGGTTTGGCAACAAACACCTTTACTGGTTGAGCCCCCTCACTGGCCCAATAGTTGCCACTTTCTAAATGTGTATTCTCTTCTTTTCACGTGTTACTCTTTCCCTCAAAAAGCAGCAGAGATGAGAGACACCCTTCACTTCCGCCATTTCTTAAACTAATGAGTTTAATACACACTTTGGGATCTTTGTACGTGTTTTAAAAAGCTGACATGTGAGCATTGGGCAGCTTAACGTCATATCACACTGCTTTGAAAATTAGGGCGTAGACTGCCATGAGAACTATGACTCAATAATTTCTCTCCAGCTAGAGAGTTCTAGGAGACCTCCTCCCTTTGGAGTCAAACACCCCAATCTGTGGAACTTTTCACACAGATTCTGCTGGGGTTTGTGTGGCAAGTGGGGTATAGGTTATTGTGTGATGCTAGCTGCTGGGTCGCAGACTTTTATTCTATGTGTGGGATGCTGGGGCTTGAAGGAAGGGCTAGCATTTTATCACTGGGCTCCACCTCAGCCCTAGATATTTTTGGATGGAAAGAAAAATAAGCATTATGACTTTGAGGAAATTGCTAATGTACAAAACTAAAAACAACATCAGTATCACACAGAGGATTAAAAAAGAGTTAGATAAAGGCAAATTACATTTATTCCTCTGGGAACAAGGATAAAAATGGAATCTCATGCTATAGTGAAGCCCATGGCTTTGTGTGCTTTTTAAAAAACTAATAAAAATAAGGGCTGGAGAGATGGCTCAGCAGTTAAGAGAACTGGCTGCTCTTGCAGAGGACTGAGGTTGGATTCTCAGCACCCACATGGCAGCTCACAACCATCTGTAGCTCCCGTCCCAATAGGTATGAGACCCTTTTTTTGGTCTCCATTGGCACTGCAGAGACCTAACACGTGAAGGCAAAATAACCATGCACATAAAAAAATTCTAAAGAAAAACCTAATGAAAATAAAACAAGTGATTACTATGCCTTGAAAATTTAAAATAGGAGAATATTTCAGCGACACATGTTCTAGTTTTCAGTTATTTATTAAGTGTTAGATACTTAAAATCCAAGG